GACGATAAATATGTTAGTTCTGATAAATTCTGAAATCGCCATTTTAAAGAGCGACTCAAATCACTGATGCTCATAACTAATTCAAAATAATTATTTTCCCGAATATTTTCATGTAGAATTATTAAACTACACTTAGATAATCTATTTCAAATCAATGCGGCATCAAATTCCACTTTTTACTGGTTTTACAGACGATAAATATGTTAGTTCTGATAAATTCTGAAATCGCCATTTTAAAGAGCGACTCAAATCACTGATGCTCATAACTAATTCAAAATAATTATTTTCCCGAATATTTTCATGTAGAATTATTAAACTACACTTAGATTATCTATTTCAAATGAAACCGGCATCAAATTCCACTTTTTACTGGTTTTACAGACGATAAATATGTTAGTTCTGATAAATTCTGAAATCGCCATTTTAAAGAGCGACTCAAATCACTGATGCTCATAACTAATTCAAAATAATTATTTTCCCGAATATTTTCATGTAGAATTATTAAACTACACTTAGATAATCTATTTCAAATCAATGCGGCATCAAATTCCACTTTTTACTGGTTTTACAGGCGATAAATAAGTCAGTCTGGATAAATTCTGAAATCGCCATTTTGAAGAGCGACTCAAATCACTGATGCTCATAACTAATTCAAAATAATTATTTTCCCGAATATTTTCATGTAGAATTATTAAACTACACTTAGATTATCTATTTCAAATGAAACCGGCATCAAATTCCACTTTTTACTGGTTTTACAGACGATAAATATGTTAGTTCTGATAAATTCTGAAATCGCCATTTGGAAGAGCGACTCAAATCACTGATGCTCATAACTAATTCAAAATAATTATTTTCCCGAATATTTTCATGTAGAATTATTAAACTGCACTTAGATAATCTATTTCAAATCAATGCGGCATCAAATTCCACTTTTTACTGGTTTTACAGGCGATAAATAAGTCAGTCTGGATAAATTCTGAAATCGCCATTTTGAAGAGCGACTCAAATCACTGATGCTCATAACTAATTCAAAATAATTATTTTCCCGAATATTTTCATGTAGAATTATTAAACTACACTTAGATAATCTATTTCAAATCAATGCGGCATCAAATTCCACTTTTTACTGGTTTTACAGGCGATAAATAAGTCAGTCTGGATAAATTCTGAAATCGCCATTTTGAAGAGCGACTCAAATCACTGATGCTCATAACTAATTCAAAATAATTATTTTCCCGAATATTTTCATGTAGAATTATTAAACTACACTTCGATTTTCTTTTTGAAGCTAAACCTGCATCCATTTTAATTTCCTTAAGTTGGTACAGACCGTGAACTAGTAGCTTCTGATGGATTTCTGACGAGCGACAGAAATCACCGATGCTCATAATTTATTCATAATAATTATTATTCGAATTTTTTTCTCTAGAATTATTAAACTAATCTTTTATCATCTACTCTTTGTCATAACTGCATCCAATTTTTTAAGTTGTTAGAGATGGAAATATAATTCTGGTAGGTTATGAAACCCCCTTTTGAAGAGCGACCGAATAACTAAATAAATTTAAAATAACGTTTTCCGATTTTTTCCCTAGAAATATTGAACTACACTCAGATAATCTACTTTAAATCAAAACTGCATCCCGTTTTACTATTTAATGTTGTAACAGAAGGCATACTAGTCGGTTCGTTTAAAACAATTGAACATGAAACCGTAATTTTGAAGTGCGACTGGAATCACCGACGCTCTTGATTTGTTTAAGATAATGTTTCTTCAATTCTTCATATTCAGATTTATTAAACTCAAAATTTATATCAGCTACATAAAATTAAAACCACATCCATTTTTTTTTTAACTTTTTCTTATCATTTCGCTGGACAAGTGGCCAACCACCCTAAACGTATTTAAAATTATTATGTCGTCATTATTTATTTGTTCAGAATTAGTTTCCCGTCATTTAATTTATCTGTTAAATAAAAAATAGGTCGAAATGAGATAAGAATTATCACTTTATATTCTGGTGAAATACAGGTATGTATGGTTCATTGAAGACAAAATACAAGTGTATATAATGAAGTGGTTATAAAAACACACTTCACACCTTTGGTAAAAATTGACCACGAGGAGCTGTGTTTGTGAGTTATTAACATACATGTACAGGTAATTGTTGACACCTGTCTAAGATAACGCCCTGGGCATGGTTCACACCTGTTGAAACAAATGACTGAGAGATTGTTAACCGTAGCATGTTTTCCCCCCTTCTTTTCCTTTTAAATATATATTCAATTTACAAAATTTTTAATTAAATTTGAAGTCGTTTATTTTCTTTTAGAAAATAAATAGATTTTAGAAATCTAAAACATCATTTAATAATCCTATGCGAAGAAAATTAAATATTAAGTTTTAAATAACATATATAATTGTTTTGCATACTTTTAGGATTAAAATGAATAAATAAAACACGAAAAGCTAAGACTGCGGATACTATTACCGTGGATTTATAACCAGTAGAGCACCGCTTTGATTTGAAGCGACTAAAATCCCCAGGCATGCGCAGAGGCCAGTGATTTGAGTCGCTCTTTTCCCTATATATTCTATTTAGAGCGACCCTGAGCACTAGCGACAGAAATCACGGTTACAGCGGTAATATTCCATGAAACTTGATTTTTCACCGAGACGGGACTAAAATAAACTGCATGAAAACCAAATGTTTACACATAGATTGTGTACAAAGTAGATGGAGAGTTGAGAGGGGTGAGACACACCCATCCCAATGAATCAATAAATGGCATAAATTTCTGTTAAATTTTAAAAGTTCCAAATTGTTAATATTTTTTTCCCCAAAAGCGGGCACTGGAAGTTAATGTAAATATAGAATATGTGTATGTATAAAAATAAAATGTTATACGTGCACGTACTCTATATTTACATTAACTTCCATTGCCTGAGTCACAAAAGAATAAGACAACATTTGGCAACATGAGCTAAGTAATTAAGCTCTTGAACTGATTTTTTAACAAGTGAAAACAACATATTTATAAGAAATTTTTTTATCAGAATTAATGAATTAATAGTTAAGACAATTATTATACAACATTTATTTGAATTAACCAAATAAAGCTAGATTTCTCTAGGGTTCTTTTGAGTTCTTTAGGATTCTCTGTTTAGTAGGTCGAGCGGTTAAGACGAGCAAACCCATGCATATTAAGAACTGTACGCATGTGGCAGTCAGGCAGGTTTGATCACCAGTGGCCAGATTGCTCAGTTGGTAGAGCAATTAGGGGGCCTGGGTTAAAATCATGGTCACATTTTTCTTACTATAATGCCAGTTACATGAGTATATAAGCTTTATAAACCTACAAGAAAAGCACCAAAACACACTAAACGCATATATGCATATAGGAGCTATATAATTAAGGTAAACAGCACACACTAGGAATTAGCAAAACAGTAGGATTTTATTTAACATGTTTAAGAAATGAATTTCAATTTTTGAAAATTCTTGAGGATATCATGCCGGCATATTTGGTTAGCACCTAATGAAATTTTGCAGGCGTGAAGCATTAATTGTTTATGTATATTTATAATAATTTTCAAAAATTAAATTCAGATCTTATATTTACATTATTTATCTAATTACTTGCCACAAATTTAACTATGGCATTCGCACTATAGTTTTGATAAGCTCACAATGGAGATATTCATGCTCATCCACTGGTAGTGCATGAGAAAATGAACCGTTTACTAATTTGCAAAGAATCTTAGGGGGAAAATATTTGGAAATGTAAATATATGAACACCACATAACTTATTACAGTATTTCATCATTAACCCTACCCCACTTTAGAACTCTTCCACATAAATATACAGATTTGCACAAAAAGTATAAAACATAGAAATTGTATATTAATATTCAAGGATTTCAGAAAAATTATTCAAAGTATTGGCAGATGTTGTACAATTGACCACTGAAATGTTCATGAAATACAATAATTTTCCCCTGAAAAATAATATTTGATAAAAATCATCCTATCTGCTGAGGAGATATCAAATCTGTCAAGTCTATCAAAAGAAGTAAATGTGTTTACAACTTTCTCAGCCATACATCATCCGTACTTGGCAACAAACTCAAAATATGGATATTTCTGACAAAATTAAATTAGGCATTCAAGTTTTTAAGAATTAACTTAAATGAGTTTTTCTTTGTTAAGTTCTAAATATAAGTGAAGTAACCAAAGTGAGTTATTTTAAAATATAAATTGCTTCCATCACGACTGGTTAATATGGAAAGTGTATAAGATTTGTAAGCATAGGTAGTTGTTAAATAATATGGAAAGTATGTACATGCTATCATTAGTAAGCACATGCATAAGGAGTAGTTAATGTGAAAAGTCGCACAAAATGAAAAATATAACTGATACCAGTAAAGGCGCACAGCCAAGACAAAAGTCTGTAAAATTAGTATGAAATTCTGGGAGTCATTAATGAGAGACACAACAAAGCATTTAGATGGGGGAGTCGGGAAAGCACTACTCATATACAATGATTCTAGATATTTACATTACACACAGTCTTAGGGGTGAAGCTAAATCTAGTCAACTCTGTCATAACTTTCCTCCTACAGCTGTACGTTGTGATGTATCCCACCAGGAGAGTTGCTTAAGACTATACTCCATGTTTTTTAATGCAAGCATTGTAACTTCTGAGATAAAGAGCAATTTTTCAAAAAGCATCTTTTTCACTCTTTTTTCACTGCTTCTTTTTGAATTGGTACCTTTCCCATGTATTGTTTTATTTTTACTGATGCAAAATTTAGTATTAACAAACCAGCTGAACAATCAAATGATAATACTCATTTGAAATGTATAATCTCCAATCCAATCATACTTTCTGATCATTGCAAATTTATATAACATGAAATGCCTTAGAAAATGATATTTGAAGAAACTGTATTTTTATTTATCTTGAGTTTACCAGAATTCATGTATTTTACCAGGTTCCCACTTTGCTGATCATTTTGAGCAGAAATTTAATCCTACATGGATGCAAGTTGTTCCATCGACATAAGAAATGTTGAGACGGTCCCTGATCAGATTACTTCTGGAGACAGCCCCCACAATGTCATCGTAGACAGTCCGGGTCACATTGTTGATCTCGGAGAGGAGGATAGTTTGGGAGGAGAACAGCTGGTGGATGTTCCCAGCACCCTTCCGAACTCGGCCACAGATGTCAATTTACTTCTACTCCACTCTAACGGGGTAAATTTTCTAAATGTTTAGTTGTTTACTTATCCACTCTAAGGGGGTAACTTCTCTAAATTTTTAGTTGTTTAATTTAATACATTCAATTATTTGTTAGCTGTGCAGAATTTTAAAATTATGGATGTATGATCCCCCCCTCTTTGGTACCTAATCATTCATGTATGAATTTGTTCTGTAAATTTGAAATAAGATATTTCTGCTGCCAGTGTACACCTTCATTTGTTACTGACAAATTGTTTTTACAGAGAGGCAATTATCCTAACTAATGCAGACAACTAACACAGACAATCATGAAAATTAACACAGCTAGATAAGTCATTTCCACTGCTAGTCTGGACCTCTATTTGTTACTGACAAATTGGTTTTTTACAGGGAGGCAACCTCTCCTTAGAGTCCCCGGCAACCAATGTCCCACAGCACCTAGATACTCAAACCGTCCAGGCTGTAACCCTAGCTGATGGAACAACAGCCTTCATTCAACATCCGAAAGGTATTGTCCTAAAGTGACACCACCCTAAAGGTATTGTCCTAAAGTGACAAAAGCCTAAAGGTATTGTCCTACAGTGACAACATCCTAAAGGTTTGTCCTACAGTGACAACATCCTAAAGGTTTGTCCTACAGTGACAACATCCTAAAGGTATTGTCCTAAAGTGACAACATCCTAAAGGTATTGTCCTACAGTGACAACATCCTAAAGGTACTGTAGATCAATAAATTTTTGCAACACCTTATTTTCGCGAGATAGACATTTACTCTTTATTAGCGAGACAAATTTTTCACGAATTGTGGTAACTTCTCTATATAATCTCTAGGAATACTAATATATGCGAGAATAATATTTTTGCGCGCATGTTGTCTCGTGTAATTACATGAATATAAAGTTCTTGCGAATAAAAAGGGATTTACAGTATTGTCCTAAAGTGACAACACTCTAAAGGTATTGTCCTACAGAGTATGCCTGAATCATAGGGGAATGTCATTTCAAGCTTTGACTACTTGCTAATAGTCTAACAAGCTGAGACAGTATTGTATGTTAAGTCGTTTTTTTTTATAGGAGGGAAGTTTATGGAGGGACAGACTATTAGTCTGGAGGACGGGAGTACAGCAGTGGTACAGGGGGTCAGTCACGGTGAGTCTTCACCCACATTGTTTTACCCTTGTAGCCTTTTATTCCTTGTAACCTTCACTGTCAGCTGACTTTGCTTGTAACATGTAGGTGTAATTCATTAGTAAACAGAGGTACTTACACTCGATATAGAGATATGTCTACAACCAGTGTGACTCTTGCATTCAAATTTTACTGATTATAAAATATTTTTGCTTGCATAAATTAGTAAAATTGATTAAAAATAAGACATTTTGATGAAATATTCAGAAGAATCTTTGTATTTATTAAGATTTGAGTTCGTGAACTTGAGCTTATCCCAACACTAAATTTCAGTGTTGCCAGTTAACAACATTCAGTCAGAGATGGACAGTGTGGTCAACCCCAACATTGTACTGACCGATTCCTCCCAGGTCGGAGGTCAACCAATACAGTTAGAGGACGGGACCACTGCATTCCTTCATCACACCCCAAAAGGTAGGTCAACCAATACAGTTAGAAGACGGGACCACTGCATTCCTACATCACACCCCAAAAGGTAGGTCAACCAATACAGTTAAAGGACAGGACCACTGCATTCCTACACCTCACCCCAAAAGGTAGGTCAAGCAATACAGTTAAAGGACAGGACCACTGAATTCCTACACCACACCCCAAAAGGAAGGTCAACCAATACAATTAGAGGATGGGACCACTGAATTCCTACACCACACCCCAAAAGGTAGGTCAACCAATACAGTTAGAGGATGGGACCACTGAATTCCTACACAACACCCCAAAAGGTACCATATATACTCGCCTATAAGTCGTTTTTTTTGGAGTTAAACTTTGGTCCAAAACTCTTTGTCTGACTTATAGGAGAGTTATAAAAAGATTGGTATTTTAGAGGGTCAAGTCCTCTAATATAAGCTTAAAAAATACAACCGACTTATAGGCAGACCTACTTATATGCGAGTATATACGGTAGGTCAACCAATACAGTTAGAGGACAGGAGCACTGCATTCCTACACCACACCCCAAAAGGTAGGTCAACCAATACAGTTAGAGGACAGGACCACTGCATTCCTACATCACACCCCAAAAGGTAGGTCAACCAATACAGTTAAAGGACAGGACCACTGCATTCTTACACCACACCCCAAAAGGTAGGTCAACCAATACAGTTAAAGGACAGGACCACTGCATTCCTACATCACACCCCAAAAGGTAGGTCAACAAATAGAGTTAGAGGATGGGACTACTGAATTCCTACACCACACCCCAAAAGGTAGGTCAACCAATACAGTAAGAGGATGGGACTACTGAATTCCTACACCACACCCCAAAAGGTAGGTCAACCAATACAGTTAGAGGATGGGACCACTGAATTCCTACACCACACCCCAAAAGGTAGGTCAACCAATACAGTTAAAGGACAGGACCTCTGCATTCCTACACCTCACCCCAAAAGGTAGGTCTACACATCATTCCAGAAAGTAATCCCACTATGATTGCCTTAATCTGAGTTAATATATATTGGATAATCAAGTGACTTGTCAATATGATGTATTTTGTGGAGTTGAATCAGACGATGCTTTTCTCTCCTTTTTGATGTGGTGTCCCATCCTCTGGATAAGAAGTATTTAGATGTCATTGTTTCCCTCCCGTAATTATTTTTGCAGCTTCTCTCTGTATACCTTTAAGTTTATCTACTAGATATCCTGGTAAATCGTCCCATATTATATTAGTGTTTTCCAATACACTTCATTTGCTGAATGTTCTCTTGGATTTTCTCTGCTTCAGTTGCTCAACTTTTGCAATAAAGTAAATTTGAATGAGATTTATGTTCCTATTTTACAGAGGGATTACAAGCTATTCAGTTGGAGGATGGGACTACAGCATACATCACCCACCCCTCAGCTGAGTCCCTCTTTGGCGACGCCCAGATCACAAATCTGGACAGTGGGACACTCAGTCTAGATCAGCTAGCCGCTCAGGTGAGAGAATTAAAAGCAGCTGGCCACTCAGGTGGTAGTAATACCAGCTGAGAAAATCTGTACTTGATCAGGTGAGAGAAATACCTGACACAATTTTGGGCAGAACAGGTGACAGAAATGTCTGATACAGATTGTGCTGGGCAAGATGAAAGAATTACTTGACATAGTTTATGCTTGACCAGTCTTTGACTGATCAGATGAGAAAAGTTCCCAGTCTGTACTTGACCAGATAAAACAGGTAACTGGCACTTCATACCTGACCAGTTGAAGACCTTACACAGTCTGGATCTAATTAGTAAAGAGTTGAGATTCTCTTTAATCTGTGTCCTTTAAACATGCATGAAATAGAGCATAACAGATTACTTTATAATTATATCTGTGGTTTCAGGCTTTGTTTATATCAATATTGCATTTGGTTTTGATCTTCAGTAATTTTGAATAGAATATATTTTAGGTTACAGTAGATCATATAAAAGAACCTGGACTGGAATCTCTACAAACATCAGCAAGTCCCCTAGGACCCAATGCTTCCGTTGTACATGTAAGTACATGTATATCCTAGCCTACAACTCCCCTAGGACCCAATGCTTCTGTTGTACATGTAAGTATATCCTAGCCTACAAGTCCCCTTGGACCCAATGCTTCTCTTGTACATGTAAGTATATCCTAGCCTACAAGTCCCCCAGGACCCAGTGCTTCTGTTGTACATGTAAGTATATCCTAGCCTACAACTCCCCTAGGACCCATTGCTTCTGTTGTTCATGTAAGTATATCCTAGCCTACAACTCCCCTAGGACCCAATGCTTCTGTTGTACATGTAAGTATATCCTAGCCTACAAGTCCCCTTGGACCCAATGCTTCTCTTGTACATGTAAGTATATCCTAGCCTACAAGTCCCCCAGGACCCAGTGCTTCTGTTGTACATGTAAGTATATCCTAGCCTACAAGTCCCCCAGGACCCAGTGCTTCTGTTGTACATGTAAGTATATCCTAGCCTACAACTCCCCTAGGACCCATTGCTTCTGTTGTTCATGTAAGTATATCCTAGCCTACAACTCCCCTAGGACCCAATGCTTCTGTTGTACATGTAAGTATATCCTAGCCTACAAGTCCCCTTGGACCCAATGCTTCTCTTGTACATGTAAGTATATCCTAGCCTACAAGTCCCCCAGGACCCAGTGCTTCTGTTGTACATGTAAGTATATCCTAGCCTACAAGTCCCCTAGGACCCAGTGCTTCTGTTGTACATGTAAGTATATCCTAGCCTACAACTCCCCTAGGACCCATTGCTTCTGTTGTTCATGTAAGTATATCCTAGCCTACAACTCCCCTAGGACCCAATGCTTCTGTTGTACATGTAAGTATATCCTAGCCTACAACTCCCCTTGGACCCAATGCTTCTCTTGTACATGTAAGTATATCCTAGCCTACAAGTCCCCAGAACCCAGTGCTTCTGTTGTACATGTAAGTATATCCTAGCCTACAACTCCCCTAGGACCCATTGCTTCTCTTGTTCATGTAAGTATATCCTAGCCTACAAGTCCCCCAGGACCCAGTGCTTCTGTTGTACATGTAAGTATATCCTAGCCTACAAGTCCCCCAGGACCCAGTGCTTCTGTTGTACATGTAAGTATATCCTAGCCTACAAGTCCCCCAGGACCCAGTGCTTCTGTTGTACAAAGATTCTTGCTCATAAAGATCTCAGCCTTAAAACAAAGGATTCCAGTATGAACTTGAATGCTTGGTTATGCACATGAGTTTACTGCTCACATAATCAGAACCTATCATTTTGTTTATAGTCATGAACCTTATATTTAATTAGATGAGTGCAGAATTGATGTTGGATCTGTCCATTTGTTTATAACCCCAGTTTTTCTGTTAACTGATCATGTAACAATATTTATAGTACCCCCCTCCCCACTTGAAAGGTATATAGTGATTGGGGTTTCCCTCCCTACATCCTTCTCTACATCCTATGTCCATAATTGTTGGGGAAACCCATCTCTTATCTGCAACTCTTCCTATACCACTGAATAAAATTTAATGAGACTTTTACAGAATCTTTTTTACAAAGTGCCATTGTGCACTTCTTATTTTACACTTCAAGCAGAGGAGATTTGGGATTTCCTGTAGCAAAACGTGGACACTGCCATTCTTTCTATAACATTTGGGGTACCCATCTTTGGGGTACTCCACCTTTAACCACTGAATGAAATTCAATGAGACTTTTACAGAATCTTTATCATATAGTATCATTTTGCAGCTCCTATTTTGTGTTCTGATCTGACAGATTTTTGGGGATTCCCAGAGGGAAACATGGGACTTTGTCATTACACACATATGAGGGAGGGGGGTATTATTTTGTTAGCTCAGTGCTCACAGTACCTCTAGTTACAAATGAAAAGCCTGAGATAAATTCAAGTCAAAATAAATAAGGCATAAGATTTTTTCTTTTTGAAAATAATTAATTACAATGAATTACAAGTAAAAAGTTCACTTGCTGTGTGTGACCCTCCAGAAAACCTCTTCATTTCGTGGGTCTCTTACACATGTATTTACACTGAAATAAAGGTTCAGATATATGTTAGTTACATACATATCTATTTCAATAAACTCAGACATTGTATGCCTAATGTTGTAGACTGTGATAGCAGCTGGGCTAGCACCTGACGAGAAGACAATGGTGTTCGGTGAAAAAGCTTATCGCTGTAGCTTTGATGGCTGTGGCAGGCTATACACCACACAGCACCACCTCAAGGTGAGTAGATTAAGGGTTTGTACACCACACAGCACCATCTCAAAGTGAGTAGATTAACAGTGCATACACCACAAAGCACCACCACACAGTGATTAGATTTAAAGTGTACACCACACAGCACCACCTCACAGTGAATAGATTAACAGTGTATACATCACACAGCACCACCTCACAGTGATTAAATTTAAAGTGTACACCACATAGCATCACCTTAAAGTGAGTAGATTAACGGTGTGTACACCACACAGTACCACCTCACAGTGAATAGATTAACAGTTTATACATCACACAGCACCACCTCACAGTCAGTAGATGTACAGTAACTACACACACAGCACCACCTCACAGTTAGTAGATTTACAGTTTATACACAACACAGCACCACCTCAAAGTAAGTAGATGTACAGTGTATACACCACACAGTACCACCTCAAAGTAAGATGATTTATATTGTATACAGTACCACCTCACCCTGAGTAGATTTACAGTGTATACACCACTCAGCTTCACCACAGTGAGTATTTTGCATACACTACACAGCACCACTTCAAAGTGAGTAGATGTATACTGTATATACCAATAAACAGTATGTATACCAATATATACAACACCATCTTAAAATAAGTTGTAAAATATGATGACCCTCTACCTTTTTATTATGGTGTGCATACAGAGTAATATATTCTAAATTTAGTTTTTAAAAAAAAAGTTTGAATTCAATTGTTGAAATCTTAATAATACTTAAAATATATTGAAGATTAAAGGAACTCTTTTATACTAGGTTCATGAACGATCTCACACTGGAGTCCGTCCATTTAAATGTGATTATGAGGGCTGTGGTAAAGCCTTCGCTACGGGGTACGGACTGAAATCTCATACACGTGTTCACACCGGGGAAAAACCATACAAATGTCCAGAGGAGGGATGTGACAAGGGATTCAAGACATCGGGGGATCTACAGAAACATGTCCGCACCCATACAGGTATGTAGGAGGGGTGTGACAAGGGGTTCAAGATGTTGGGGGATCTACAGAAACTAGTCCGCACCCACACAGGTACAGTCCCTGAAATGTTCTACTTTCCCATTTTTCCGTTCGCTCACCGTTCGTTCAGCGTGCGTTCACCGTTCGTTCACCGTGCGTTCACCATTCGCTCTCCGTTCACAGTTTTGCGTTCACCGTTCACCATGCGCTCGCGTTCACCGTTCACAAAGTGTTCAGCGTTCGCTCTTCGTTCCGTTTACTTTGCGTTCATCTTGCGTTCAGCGTTCACCTATCGTTCAGTTTTCATTGTCATTCGGAACTCCGAAGTGAAAGGACTTATCTTTTTGTAGTTAAGGAGTTACAGGTTTTTTTAATTTATTAACTAACATATCGTGTTTGAAGAATCATTATCTCATGAAGAAAAATATCTACGATATATATTTTAATTATTCTAACTTAGCTGTTAGGTTATTTATTAAATTACTCTGGAAAATAAATGTTGTTACAAGCACATTCTGTACCTATGTAGAACGATGCTGAAATATTAAATTTAACTAAGGGCAATGTGCAAATACTTCAAGCACTGCAACATTTTGTTGTTTTGTTAAAGACGACAAATCGTTTATGGAGATATAATTATTCAAGTCAAATAATTACGCTGCAAAATTACGAAAATATTTATTTCTATTACGTTTTTTTTTTTCAATTACAACAGAAAATATAATAGAACTAGTTCTGAGAGTTATACATAGTACTGCGGATATCCTGTTAATTTATTATCTTTAGAACGAATTAAAATGATAGTGTGGTTAAAGGAAATATTTATTTAAAATGTAATGCACTACAGAATTTCTCTACTGTAATATGTGAAGTCTATAGTTATAGAGAAAAAAATCCTTCTTCACCGTAACTTTATATGTTTGCCATTCGATATGATTAATACTCCCCCCCCTTTCCCCCTAAATCGGTGACTTAGTCAGTACCGTATTTCCAGAATATTTTAATTAACATTTTAAAGAAAAAGCTACGGTCTTTTTAGAACAAAAATTTCAGTCTCAAACTAAAAAAGTCACAAAACAATAGTAGATCAAAATGTACACGTGTCGACGGTGGTATTTGAAATTGACAGAGAGTATGTTTCACATTCAAGTGTTAATGCCCAATGTATTTTACTAATTTATTATTCAAATGTTGGAATCAAATCTAGAAATGATAAAAATAAATGTTATAACTTGTTGGAAATACTCGCACTTCGTCTTCGATGTGACGAAACTTTCACACCTGCACAGTGTCGAATGATTTTGATTGACAGGACAAGCACGTGGACTTCGTGTGAACTTGAAGCAGGAAAATAAAAACGAGTATGACTGTCAAACAAATGGATATGATTTGTTGATAAAAAAAAAAAAGTTACTTTCACTGTCTGATATATTTAGAAAAAAAATTCAAAGTTTTTGTTTGATATAGGTACAAACATTTGGTGAAGCCTGAAAGGAGGGGGGGGGGCTAAAACTGAATAGTACTCTCTCTCTCTCTCTCTCATTTGTCTGTTTAATAAAAACTATAACACCATATTACTTAAATATCATGTTCTGAAAATTGAATTTATAACAAATAATATGAATATGTATCTTTGTATCATCTTGTCCGAGTACATGTATAATCATGGCCATCTAGAGATACATGTAGACGTCTGCTCAATAAATCATAATAAAAAATAGAAATGACACATAATATGTTATTGTATTAAAAATTTAAAATACGGGCGTATAAGTGTAATTAATTTTTTTTTCATTACTTTACACGAAATCGCCTTGACACGGAGATATATATATATGAATATAAGTTACAACCGCTTTAATTCATTCTATAAATCATAAATTTTCTCTGATTTGTTATCAAATAAGAATAAACATTTTTATTTTCCAACTAAAACCAATATCTTTTATACTTCAGCGTTCGGCAACAATTGCAATGTTTTAATGCGATAAAAATCGTGTGATTAAAAACTTAATGTGCATGCATCGTCTTTCTTAGGACAATTTTGGAGAATTTATTTTATTGACTTATTTATTCATTCATTAATTTGTTTACTTATTTATTATTATTATTTTTTTTTGGCACCTGACATTATAACACAATAAAATAGTTTCAATGCAAGGAAAAGATCAGAGGCATTCCGAATATATCGTTCATCTTGCGTTCACCGTTCGTTCACCGTTCACTTTGCGTTCGCGTTTGCGCTCCGTTCGCGTTCTGCGTTCGTTCAGCGTTCACACATCGTTCACCAAGTTGCGTTCAGCGTTCACACATCGTTCACTCACCGTTCGCTCTGCGTTCGTTCAGCGTTCGTTCACCGTTCGCTCACCGTTCAAGTGGGAAAGTAGAACGTTTCAGGGACTGTATGTAGAAGGGATGTGACAAGGGATTCCAGACATCGGGGGATCTACAGAAACACGTCAGCACCCACACAGGTATATAGGAGGGGTGTGACAAGGGATTAAAGACATTGGGGAATTTAGTGATACATGTTCGCACCCACACAGGTATGTAGGAGAGGTGTGACAAGGGATTAAAGACATTGAGGAATTTGGTGATACATGTCTGCACCCACACAGATATGAAAGAGGGTGTGTAAGAGTTTTGTGTACTGTGTGCAGAAAGGAACTTTTCATTCCTGAAAATAAATATTACACAAAAATAATGCTCACGAAGACATCTATTTCACAATCTGTTGAATTAATGGAGGGATTTATATAAATTGTTTATGTTCATGTAAATCTGTTGTGGAAATATTGTAGTTTATAAAAGGTTTTAAAAGGGATTCTGTAATAAATTTAAATTTGTGCATTATGAAGGAAATTTCTTTAATTGCTAGCTAGTATAATTTTCTAGGACATGTGTCTCTGTATATGAATGTATAATTTTTTTCCCAGGAGAGCGTCCCTTTAAGTGTCCATTTGAGGGTTGTGAGCGATCTTTTACTACGTCCAACATCAGAAAAGTTCACATCCGAACCCACACCGGGGAACGTCCTTACATCTGTAATGAGGAAGGATGTGGTCGAGCCTTTGCCAGTGCCACAAACTATAAAAATCACATCAGAATCCACACAGGTAGGTACATGCAAGTCTCTACATTTGTAATGAAAAAGGGATGTGGGTAAACATTTGCCAGTATCACAAACTATAAAAATCTCATAAGATTCCACACAGATAGATAAAATATCAAGGTGTTAAAGTTATACAATATCCAGTGTGACAGACTTTAAATATGTAGGTGTGATAAGTTTAAGATATCCAGGTGTCAGGTTTACAGTATTCTGATGTGATTGGTTTACAGTTTCCTGGCTTCAGGGCCAACAACGTTGAGATTTTCTCAAATCTGAGATTTCTCAGAAAATCTTGAGGTTGGTACATAGTAGTCTCAAATAAAATCTCACAGAATTATTGTATGGTAAAATTGTTACAAGTGATATGACAGTGCATATTTTTTTCCTTGAATGCACGAAATTAACATACAAATACAGAAACATATTATTTTCTCCCAAAAGATCATCCTGTGATATACATATTTAAGAAGGGGGGGGTGTTACTCACATGTAAAAAATCTTATATATATTGTTCACGCATTGAAACAATGCATTTGAACTTTACCAAAAGATAAAAAGAATGAAAAAAAGGAAAAAATTAAGAATAAAAGCAATATTTTTGTGGCATGCTATGCTTCATTCATACAGGAATTAATTTAATTGATTAAATTCATATTTTAGTGGGCTATTTATGGTTAGGCAAATCATTAATTCACAATGTACATGTATATCAGAAAAGGAAATATGACTTAACTAAAATATCAAAACTCCACAGCCTCTTCTTTGTTCTTTCTACGGTAGTTATATCATTTACTTGTACATATTCGCTGGTGTAAAGTATACGCAAATTATACGTAAAAGAATGTTGTCTAAAATTCTGTGTACATATTTTGTTGAGCTTTCAAAATAATTTACAAATCACCATTTATTAATCACTGATGATAATAGTCAGTCTAATTTGAGTCTTAACTAAATCATTCTATAAAATTCTTAATTGAGATTTGGGGATCTACTTTATACTCACAGTGCATCACACACAAAAATCCTTGACCGTTCATATTATTTATAAGAATAAGCCTGACTCAAAACCATTCTAAAGTACATGTATAAATAACAAGAACTTACAGTGATCTTCTTTCTTAATACGACCACTTACATTTTTAAATAAACAATAAAAAACAAGTATCGTCCTTAGTTTCAAACATTACATGATTGAGTCGTGAAACTTTTATTAACGATGTGATAATAGGAAATAATCAGTTAATTAATCGTCACTTGGTGAGCGTATGTGAGATTGATTTGGGTTTCCAGTGTAACAACGCATATTGTTCACTATATTCGTTGTCATCTCAAAAAAAATGGTTAATTTTTCTGTGACCATTTCTTACAGTGGATCGTAGTATGTACTAATGTAGTCTCTTCTCCGTTTCTCTGACATTCTCTAACAGGGGGTAGTGGAACATGCCATGTGTTATTTAGCCTCGTCCCAAAATATGTCTGTATTTCAATTTCAGGTTTTTCTTTCTTCGGGGGAAGGGGGGGGGGGGGCGGGGTACCTGACAATAAACCAATTTGTATCGAAATTTTCTTGATAAATTGGGATCATGTGAAACCAAGCATACATGTACATATGTTATCTGCCCCTCGACATGTTTTCTGTCCCAATTTTTGCACAAATTTTACGAAACGCTCATGCAACTGCTCGAGAAAATTATGATCATGTAAGAAAGTTAGATATATATCAAGCATTTGATCGGCTTGTAAAAAAATTACTCAGTGTTAATTTCTTAAGGCTGGGTTGGCAGTATTTAAATCATTATTTCGGCGGTAAAATTTATTTCCTTTGATCACTTTAAATGATTGGGGGGGGGGGGGTTATATTCTAAATAGGGACAAAAAGTCCCTTTACCCAAAATATTTTTGCTATGGAGAATAAAATGTAAAAGATATATCTGACAAATCATATATCTTACAAAACAAAATTAAAGAAAAAAATGTATAATCGACCAGCAGATAGAGTCTTGATCTGCCGATCTACTTTTTGTAATCTTCGGACACATAACGTCACAAAGGCGGAAGTGATGCCTTGGTGTATATTTTTGTGTGTTTTTTGTCGACAGACGAGCCAAGACTATAAAGTTTGGATATGTTTTTGTGTTATTCATCTGTAGGGATTATTTTACGTGGACTCAGTGAATATTTATTGTTGCAAAGATTGTAATGGAATCCTTTCCTTTGAATGACTCGAAACAGCAAATAAAAGATGAAGGGAGTGGAGAATGTGTATTTTCGTAATTATACACCAAAATATTGCATAAACAACCAACTGAAAGGTAAATTCAATCATTGATTAAAAAAATTTGTGCATTATAAAAAAAAGGTCGCATATAACAACGAGAATAAGTCTAAGATTTTTCTCACATCTCAGCTTACGTGAGACGAATCTCAGAAATGTTGGTGGCACGGTGTTTTAGGAAAATCTCAGCTGAGGCAGAAATTTAAGATTTGAGGTTGAGATTTGAGCTGAGATTTTTATGTGTTGGTGGCCCCGAAGCCAGGTATCACAGATTTATAATATCCTGGTGTCAAAAGTTTACACTATGCAGGTGTAAAAAGGTTTGAAATATCCAGATGTGATGTTTGCTATAATCATGATGGTACTAAGGTTCAAGATCTAATAACAAGACCTTTGAGAATGAACATTGTAAGCATATGTAGATATTTTGATAACAATTTTGGTAGTTTTGTAAATGTTATGAAAATCTTTATGTAAATAATGTAATTACTTATTTTTCATGTATTCAAGCACAATGTCCCTTATATAAACAATATAACTTTATTCTATTATAAATCTGTCAGAATATGTAAGGAAAGAATAAACTTTCTTAGTTATCATCAAAGTAAGCTAGATCTGAAGCAGTGCAGATTTCAAATTTATTTTTATATCTATGCAGGAGAGAAGTCTTACTTCTGTACAGTACAGTTATTTGAATTTTTTATAACCCTGCTCTGAAGGAGAGGGGGGTATACTTTTTACCCTTGTGTGTCTGCTTTTGTGTCTGTGTGTCTGTCTTCAATAAATTTTTGCCGCAGTTTTCTCAGCAACTACTCATTCCTGATGCTTAAAATTTTAGCACACTCTTTGTTTAGGCATGCCATATGGTGGGACTCATTTTTGTGCAAATCTGATGTCAACTTCCTGTTTTTCCGTGCATCTGTCTGTACCAAATTTTCACACAGTTTTCTCAGCAATTACTAATTGCAGGTGCTTGAAATTTTAGCATAATCTTTGTCTAGGCATGTCATATGGTGGGATTCATTTTTGTACAAATCTGATGTCAACTTCCTGTTTATCCATGCATTTGTCCGTACCAAATTTCTATAACAGTTATCTCGGCAACTACTGAAGGCAGATGCTTGAAATTTTAGTACACTCTTTGTTTAGGCATGCCATATGGTGGGATTCATGAGAGCCTTTATTCACATCAGAGCAGGGGCATTACTAGTGAGCATTGGCTCACAGACGTCTTGTTTTTTTCTCTATGCAGTTTGATTAACATGTATTGGATTTCTATACAGGAGAGAAGCCTTATGTCTGTACGGTACACGGCTGTGGTAAGCGGTTCACGGAGTACTCCTCCCTCTATAAACACCATGTGGTTCATACTCATTCCAAACCCTACCACTGTAACCACTGCGGTAAGACATACAGACAAACCTCCACGCTGGCCATGCATAAACGGACCGCTCATGGAGAAGACACCACAGCGGAATATGAGGCCCAAGTTTACAATGAGCAGATTTTCTGTGAGTCACAAAACTCAGCTCTTTTATTTAATTTACACAAAAATTACAATTTTCTGAGTGTTATTTTATGAAAATGTTACAAGTACTAATCCAGTAATCCAGTTTGTTTCATGATCAGTAGATACATTTTTAAGTTTGTAGTCTTATCCACATCAATACAGATGAAAACAACTTTTTTCAAGGGTCAGTCTAATAGTAATGTCAGAGTAAAGGTTATAAATATATATTAAATAAGTCTTGAATACCCCCAATTCCTAAATCATCTCACACTGGGAGAAGTAAAAATGTTGGGAGAAAGGAACCCATAAATGAAATATTAAACTTTATACCTCCTATTTACAGCAAAAAATGGAGAGCAACCACCAGAAAAGAGGGCGAAGTTTGAGTACAGCATAGAGGCAAAGGAGGAGGATGGGGAAACCCTGATCCAAAACGAGGCTGTGGTTATCAACACGGAGACACAGAATACACAGGTAGTATGAAAGACATCATCATTAAAAATGGGGGATTAAAGTTAGAATTGCAGAATATCAGAAAAAGGCATCTGCTTGAAGAGCATATTCATATCATGAAGAAAATTTATCCTTGAACAATATTTGCAGCATTTTAGATAGAAATTTTTAAATGTAATTTAAAAATACCAGTGTGCTGTGAAAGAAAGCTGAATCATGAAGAACGCGTTATTCAAAGTTTCCTCTGTTGTCTATTCCAGGAATCTCTTTTACCAAATGACCAAGTCCCAGCCAGTGCTAACATTGCTACCATCACAATGGGGGAGCACGGACAACAACAGGTGTTTGTTATCACTGACCCTGCTCAGCTGGAGGCTCTACAGGTAACACTATACTACATACGAGGGCTGTTTGGGAATTATTGAGACATTTACTTTTACTCCATAAAAGCCAGAGATACATTCATGAAACTTCGTCAACATTTTATAAATAACAAATAAAAGAAATGTGCAAAATTTCTAATTTATAGGATAATTAGACAAGTTCCAGTGAAATTATAAACATGCATATGTCTATCGACCTGGAGCAGCATCGCTACGTCATTTTAACGTCACGTCAGCCAGAGATTTTTTGCAAGTGAAACGGTCGGGAAGCTTTTACTCTTCTTTCTCTGTTATCACATATAACATTCCAAAAATCAAACTGTCTCTTTCCTTAAACAATTCTTTAAAAAATAAAATTAAAAAAAATGTGTGCTGGTGCTACTTCAGTGTTAAAAAATACACAAAGTGTCATATACAGGTTGAATTAGCATCACGCAGTACTGATTTTTGCACAGCGGGTCAACGTTATTTACTCCGTAATAATTGATGGTCGTCTGGAGCTCTTGTTTTTACTTTTGTTGAATATTTTGTAAGAATAAAATATATACCAATGAAAAAATAAAACCCTTAGACACATTTTTTGCATTGTTATTGTTTTAGCAGGTCGTTTAGTCTGGAAATGAGTTCTCCATAGCGCTACACAAAATTAAAGGTATGCTCAATGGGCCGCCTTGACGTCAAATTCCATTTTGTCGTCGTTCTCAGATTTCTATGCCACGCTTAAATTTATTTATGATCTCCATATTTCTGATCAAAATTTTAACAAACTTGCATAAAAATAAGTCAAAATTAAATTGAAAAACTATATACATAAATTGAATTATTTTCGCTCTTACTCTGAGTCCACCGGGAGTTTGAACGTTGGTGTAACATATTTTCAACATCTGATTTCGTGACTGCGCCGGGTACCCCTACCATTAACACATTAATATACCACTGAGAGGAAGAAATAAAATATTTGTAAAATATTTTTTGCTTTTATTAATTTTTATTACATATCAAACGTATATGCAAATTTTCACCGAAAGACGTTCATTAGAAAAAAGAATATACACATTGTTTCAATAATTTCCGAACAGCCCTCGTATAGGTAACACTTCACTACATACAGCTCTGATACAATTACACCATGATTAAGCAAATGTGTATGAAAGAAGGAGACAAAATTTTCAGAAATTTGATGAATGCAAATCATGATGCACAAAGTAAACTGATATAAATAGTTTTGATTGATGTATATTGTACATTTGTTCACTGTGGATAAACGATAGAACTATTGATGAACTGAGCCTTTTATCAACCTTTAGCAATTAGCAGCACAGCAGCAGCAACAACAGAGAGAAAGTATGTCTGAGACAACTGATCAGCAGCTTACATCACTAGGGGTGGATCAAACAGGAGCGGAAACTCCATCAGACCAGGTCTGCACCCCGTCAGACATAAACCAGCAATCAACTGAAACTCTGACAAATTTGGACCAGCCCGAGGACGTTTGTGATCCGAAGCTGGAACCCGAGGGCAATGTAGAGTCTGTGGTGTTGGAGGATGGGTCATCATATGAAGAGAAAGAAATCCTACAGAGTGTGACAGATGGTGACATAGTCACAGACAATGATATCGTCACAGAGGGCGACATGGCGACAGACAATGACATAGTCACAGATAATGATATTGTTACAGAAGGCGACATGACAGTGTCCGGAACCATACAGGTCCTCGAGGAAACTGTGCAGACATAATCCACATTATTGTTTATTTATTTCTATTTCTTTGAATTAAAATTGTTGCTTTTTATGGCATTTGAATTTTTTATTTATTTAGATGATAGAATTAAAAAGGCTATAGCTTAGTCAATTTGAAATTTGAGCATTTTTTTTAACCCAGGGTGATACAAAGTTGATCTTCAATGAAAAATGCATATTATGTTTAAAAATCTTGTTTTATGTAGATTTCAAGCAGGAAAACTTTTTGCATGAATAATTAAACAACCCTCTATCAAAACTGTGAAATTCATTGCCCCTGAACCCATGGTTCAAATCCCAAAATGGGGCGAAGTTGGTCATATAATTAAACTACCTTATATCTAATACTAACATCTTTTTTTAACAAATGGATATATAGCAAGTATATTGTTTACATGATAACAATAAATAAATAAGGTTATAGAATACCCAAAATCTGGAGGAAGTGAGAATTTTATCACACTGTCGTTTATTTTTTTGGGGGGGGAGGAGTTGCCATGTTTAAGTCCAAATCTATTTTTTACATGGTAAAATTAGAGTACCGGTAAATTTGTATTTGGGGGAATTTCTTTTTTCATGTTTTTGCATTGAATTGAAATATACATAAAAGTATGAATTTAGAAAGAATGAAAAAAATCAAGCCTGGTTTGAATAAAAAAAAATTTGTGAGAAATAGTGTTTAAGCAATAATTAAGCCTACAAAAATTGTTTTTATATGTATGTCTGTAACATAATTTTTTGAGTATCCTGTCATTCCTTTTTCAAAATTGTAAAATTCCTGGTACAAGGGCCCATACTTCAGGCCCTAGACTGAGGCTAAGTCACTCATGCATTGTAAAAATATTGCACCTATGAAGTCTATCCCTCTAGCAGAAAAAAACTTTTTGTTTATCAGAATTGTAAATTGACTGTGAAGACTCCTGGGTTTATGCTCTAGAATGGGGCTTATTTGGTCAAGTATTGAGAATACGTATTTGATTATTTTCTTTTTAAATCAGTAACATTATATGTACATGCAATTACAATGAGAACTAAGCCTTTGCAATAATCACTGTTCATATTTCAAACCCCAGGGTGGGGCCAAACGCTCACATTTATTCAGAAAACTGAATGGGTTGGGCTACCTGGCAATGCCTTTAAAGTACCCTTTCCATACAAAAAGTGGAGGTGTACAGATATCTGCTTATGAACTTCATGAGGTAGAATTTAAGGAAATTGAGGTCAATATACCAGTATTACATCTTTAAAATGTTTTCTTTACTCATGGATATTTAGCAGGCAAACTTCGCAAGATAAAACTTATTGTAAAACCCTCAAAAAATCATGATAATTAGGGCACGCTGGATCAAAAGTTAAGGCCCCAGATTGGGGCTCAATTGGTCATCTATTTGTAGATTTGAAAATCTTAATTATCCATGCACTTTTTGGTGAGCAAACCGTGAATGGTGAAAGGAAGGTAATATTGTCTACCATTATTCAAAAGTACTAGTTTAGATGGGGCTCAAGACAAATACACTGTTGAGGACTGGGGTCTCTTGTCATGACATCCTACATCTGATCCTATTGATTCAATTTATGTCATCATATAGGACATGTACTTTTATTAAAACATTTTATTTTATCAAGTTTCAAAAGTTCTATGTGTATTGAAATAAAATACAGTCACACATGCAGTAAAACTTGCTTCATAGAACATCAATATATAAGCATCAGTTCTACTGCGAGGGCCAAGGAAAGAACTGCGAACGATAGTATTGTTCTCCCGCCTACCTCTAAGTCAGTTTTCAAAAGTTAACATATTTGAATGATTTTTCACATTTATATTGATATTTATATGAATTTTCATAAAACATTACTTATTTGGGAAAACAAAGAAAGATAACTCTATATTTTTGGCAAAACTTGTGTTTTTCACTATAGAAATCAACGGAAAACGGAAAATATTTTTAAAACACCCCCCCCCCCCCCCGTGAAACAAAAATTCCTTTTTACAGTTAATATGGATTGTTATTTCACAAATTCATACCAAAGCTTTTTGTGTTTCACGGGGGGGGGGGGGGGGGGGGGGCATATGTTTATAGTCAAAAAACGACAAAAATGCTCATTTTTCGAAGGGATTTACAACTTAAACGTTGTATTTTATTGATTACATATGATTAATTTTATATGCATAAAACATAAGAAAAGTTTTCAGGAACATTTATCCATATCCAAGAATATTTTAAAATAAGCTGATGCTTTCAAGCCCGATTTCAATCATGGAAAATATCGTCTATCCCCCTTATAAAAAGAGCTGGAATTAAGAGTAATTAACTATTTAACACTGGTATCAAAATTATTTATCAATTACCATTGAACTCTTCTTTGCATTAAACAAAGATTTTATGGCCAAATTGTCATCAGTATTGAATTAAACGGGTGTAAAATGTAGGCGGGAATCGAGAGTTAGCGTGCGTAGATCTTTCCGTATCCAGGTAACACCTGACAGGTCGGTTAGTGGTGCTACTGGATGCGTTCTGGAGACTGAAGTAGGACTCCTGGTCTAGATCTGTCACAGTTTTCTCGACGTAAGAAAATAAAAAATATATATTGAACAAATGTCATAATATAAATATTGCATGTAGTTGAGGGTAACATTGAACATTAACGCAGCCGAAATTGACATGGTTTTCGAGGGGGTGAAAATTCAGTGTTACTATCAACTACAATACCGAGTGGTTTTATAGAGTAGACTATGTGTGCATTTTTGTGCAGTCAACATCTTTTTAATATCACCCGTCATCAAGCAATGTTGACTGTTACGTACATGTATACGTCTATATCACGCTGGACGATTCAGAGGGTAAAAGTGATTTTAGCAAATGTTTCTCGACGAATCAGTTTCAACTATTATACATGAAAATATAATATATGAATAAAATAACCGCGACCCCCACACTCTGTTAAGGAAATATATTGTACATAAAATATTTGCTCTCAAGTGCATATTATACCATCCTTGTCAAAGTCAGAAAAGGGGGATCGAGGTTGCATTAAAAAAAATCCATACACATAAAAGGGGGACATATTTTTTATTGTATTACCTTGCTGTAGAATGATTTGATATGGAGCATAGGAGGGGGGGGGGGCGGCCTGACGGTTAACATTAACTGCAAAATATTCTTGAAAAACAGCCCCCATCCCACCCACTATGCGCCTGATACAATGATATTTTACAAGAAATATTAATGAATGTGTCGTATGTGGCGTAGAGTTACAAACTAGAAGCGTATAAATTATTTTCTTTAAGAAATAGAACTATTACACACTCCTGTAACGTATACAGTAAAAGGATAACATACTTATAGAACATAGGCGCTCGGTTTCAGGTTGGTGTCACTAGCTGTGTTTTGTGTATTAATTGTGTGTTCTCCTAGCTATGTCTGTCTAAATACACGAAATTAAAATAAAAATTGAAAATCGCTTAAAATTACCGGTTTTAAAAAATATATCATATTTACATCATTTTAAATAATTTCAGCGATTTTCGATTTTTATTTCAATTTAGTGTAGGACTTCATTTGTCAATAAAGTCCTGCACCGCTTGCCCTTGGTAACCAGGCTTTTTACTTCATTTGACCGGGGGACGTTCGTCGGCGAACGCGGTTTGAAAAGACTGGCGAGGAATTCGCCGGTTTTAGATATATATATATATATATATGGCGGGAAAATAAACTCTTCATAAAAAACAAACGCATAATAGGAACAATAACCTGAAAAATGTAAGATAGTTTTGTCATACATTTTTTTTTTAGATGGATATGATTCATTCGAGTAAAACGCGTTATTTTATTGACGCAGTTGATAATACTGTAATCTACAAATCTCACAGATAAAAAGACTTGATTTTGCAAAATGCTAAAACAATTTTTTTTTTCTAAATTTTCATTTGTTGGTTTCTGATGCAATTCCTTCAGGTACAAAAGGCTATCAAAAGCTGGGGTTCTCGGTCGTTATTTTAATTCTGGTTAAACCGTTTTATCTGAAAATTGACGCTATTTAAAAATGCTGCATCTGAATATTGCGTATCACAATAAGGACATTTGGCGACTGAAAGCAGGTGTACCACAATTCCAAGAGGTTTTAATGTTACGCATAGCACCCTATCTAACAGCATGGAACACCTAATGTTTTCAAAAAATATAGCAGACCACGCTTGACATCAGCAGCTATCGTTCAGTGGTTTCCGTAATTTTCATGAATGCTTCACAATGACGTCATCTACCAGTGGTGTATATAAAGGATGTAGCCTACACATCATTTTCTTAGGGATAAAGAATTTGTTGGAAAACAGGAGAAAAAAGATGATAATAATTCTTATCTATTAATTTCATTTTGTTGCAAATGCCCAAAAAGCATTCTTAGCAATCCGTACTTTTATACCTTTCCAAAGTTGACAGTTTTGCTATATATTTAATGACAAAACTTCCTATAGTTGGAATTTTTAAAATGAGTAGTGCAGGAAATGAAATTAATATTACTGGAAAAATATGTTTGGTTAGTAGGAAATTAAATGTATTGATCGTATTTAGATTATTCAGTAAGGAAGTTTCCTTATTTTCTAAGCAGAGTAAAAATAAGGTAAAAAATTTTAAATTTTGTTAAGTAGTCTTGATATCATGATATAACCTGAAAAAAATGTTTACAATATTATTTTCACTTGTCAAATTGTAGATGACAATCGTAGATGTCTTCGCAAAAAAGCTCCCACCGTCCCTCCCCCCCCCCCCCCCCCGCCCAGTTTCCTTCTCCTTGCCTACGACTTTGCGCCTCAGGTTAAATCTGTGATTTCTCACTAGCCTACACATTAGCATATAGGAATATACGCCACTGTCGACAGCATTCGCTATCCCTGAACTCCACAGAATATCAAACAAGACCGTTTGCAGTTGACTACGGAATGCTGGAATTATTGCCAGAGACTTATAATTCACGCCATTGTTCTGAACCCACAGCACCGCTAATATCAACTTCAGCTCAGGGATCTCAGACCAACAGAGTAAGGCCACAGCAACATC